AGCTGAGTAGAACTTACTCCTTTCCAAGGGATTACGAGGGGAATGAGGATGATTTGACGCTGTGTATGTGGAATGGCGGTTCCTAGTAGTAAAGGTCTGAACTGGTGGAACTAAGTAATGCATCTCGTTTGAACATTTGCCATAGTAATAGCGATGGCGTATTGAGAGGCTAGCAAAGTTTTGTCTGTGAGATAGGTGTTGCCGGGTTGAAAATTAGTAATCATGTGACGGTTACACACCTGGCCCAGGGTCGGATCCTTTGGTTACGGCGCCAACAGTGACGTCGCTCCTCCTGGTCGCTCCTCCTGGGTCCAAGCGTGCCGCTCCAACCCCTTGGTCAGATGATCACCAGCCTCGCCTTTCCCCGACTCGCTTCCAATACCTGGTCACTAAAGCAACTGTACTGATCTCCGGTCTGTCTACCCACGCTGTGTTTAGATCTTAGACAGACGGGACCAGCAGGGATTGGGGCCGATACAAGTTGAGTCCACCTGGGGGTGGCAAAACACAAATAAAAGAGAAAATAAACTCACGAGACAAAAAGATTGCTGATGAAAAAAAATGGGTAACAACCCTTTATATCTTAATGTCCGTTACATAAAACAAAATTGTTCTCATTTCCCAACCCGCTCTGTGGACTATGGCACCAAGCTTCTATCACACAACCTAAAGATTTCGAATTGCCTACTCTTTAGAATTGTGTATGTCGGAGTGTGGTTTGGTTCGACACTGGGGCTAATTTCTATCGATCATTCGCAGTTGATTCTTCTCTTCGACTTGAGTTGTATTTCTTCTTCTTCGTCGACTTAGGCTGGAAGTTCTCTTGTCTTCGACTTGGGCTGGAAGTTCTCTTGTCTTCGACTCGGGTTGTATTTCTTCTTCTTCGTCGACTTAGGCTGGAAGTTCTCTTGTCTTCGACTTGGGCTGGAAGTTCTCTTGTCTTCGACTTGGGTTGTATTTCTTCTTCTTCGTCGACTTAGGCTGGAAGTTCTCTTGTCTTCGACTTGGGTTGTATTTCTTCTTCTTCGTCGACTTAGGCTGGAAGTTCTCTTGTCTTCGACTTGGGCTGGAAGGGGCGAGTGAATCGGGCCCGATGCCCGCGTTCAGGCTCTTTCCCTGCCCGCGGTCCAGCTGCAACTCCACTCCAACTCCAACTGATTTCTGTCGACTGGGGTCCTGCTTTTATTGACGCCGCAACAAACTGGGGTGGGTCTGTCGGCGTCAGGGGTTTTCTCGATAATTCCAAAAGTCGCATTATTTTTGATTTCTCCATTATCGCTATTGTTTTCACCCCTACTTCCTCATAGTGCTTTTGGTGGGGAGGCGCATATCCATCTCTCCCGGTCTCTCGTATGTCAGGTGACCGCTTTAACCAATGGTTCCTGATCGGGCATTTCTTTCCCTTCTCTTCCGCAGATCACGTGACCGTCTTCGACCAATCGTTCCTGATCGAGCATTTCTTTCCCTTCTCTTCCGCAGATCACGTGACCGTCTCCGACCAATTGTTATTGATCGAACATCCTTTCTCCTCTTGTTGCGGGCGTGGTTACATCGTTCTTGTTTTAAAAAAAAAAAAAAAAAAACAAAATCCAATTTTGCCTTTTTTTTGCACGTACGCAAAATGACAATCTTGGCTTTCTCTCACCTGGACTTTGTCAAACAGCCCGCCGCTAATTAGACTTGACTTCAGAAAGGATCTTTTCCGCCTTCTTGGCGCCCTCTGTGAGCCAAAAGCAATTGTCCCTCTTTTTACCTCTTTGTTTTTCCTGATAGTCGAAAATCTTAATTATCTACTTTGAAAATGTCTCCACTTTATTAACGTGGGTGTCCAATTCTTAACAGGTCAGGATCTGTATATCGTTCCACCGGTCCTCCCCTCAACCCAAAGACACTTTTTTCTGATTAAAAATTTCATTTCTATTGTTCTAAACCAAATTGATAAGGAGTCTCTCCACGCAAAAGTCGGTCAGATGCTTTGACGATATCTGGTCTACATCAGCGGCCCGTTTTGATATCATGTCTTTTTTTCCCTTTCTTTCTTCTTATTATTTCTAATTCTATTCTTCCAATTGTCTTTAAAAAAATTCGGTCAACATGCTAGCTAAGATATCTTTCTGACTCGTGTTTTTGTTAATGACCATTTTTTTTGTATTTCTCGGCCTCTCTCTTTCCCCTTCCTTCTTCTTCCCTTAGGATCGTCCAGGTACAATCTTAGTGAATTATTTTCAACTCAATTATTTTCCGTTTTAAAAAAAAATCAACAACCTGTTTAGTAAACCGAGTAAGAAAAAATTAAATCATATTTCTATGAATATTTCTAATAATGCAAGGTGCCACAATCAGATGGCCCCGTAATCGCTTTTATGCTCTGTTAAATCTGGAAAGTGAGGACTGTGCATCACCAGCCCAGATATGGCAACTCTTTGTCTGATTTGACTCTTTAAAGATAGACCATTACAGTAGATATATTCTGGAATGGTACAAGGTACAGATCATTCTTCTGGTAACTTCAGCGACGGTACGAATATACTAGTTACATTTGAAGTGATCTTTAGACCAAATAGATATTCGAGGTATAAAGTCTCTGAGAGTATGGCTGCTCATTAGAATTGGAACAAATTTAGGCTCTTCTCGGTGGTGATGAAACATTACATTTGTTTTGGCGGTATTGAATAATGAAAACCAATCTTTTCCCCGATTGAATTGTGAGAGCTAAGATAAAGGAGAGATCAACTGATAGGCTTTGGTAGTCTTTGTTCTATGTGTAGGCAAAAGAAAGGCTACTAAGATGAACCTAATAATGAAGGGACAGTAAAAGGTTGAGAGAGAATATTCTCTAAGCTAGACGAACTTCAAAACAGAATATATTATAAGAACTCATACGCAGTTAAACTTTCCAAAAACTTAGACAACTCCAGCTGAAAAAACTGATCAGAACGCACAATTCCGGTCGGCCTTTAGATAGAACAGACCTTTAAGGGGTGTAAACCTCTTCATCTCTCTTGAACATCTACATAAGAGAAGGAAACTTGACCAGAAAACATCTGAGTCAAGAACCCTATCGTCGTCATACTTCGCTAGGAATTAAAACGTTTATTAAAAGTTGGGATAATATTGCGTTCGCCGTGATTCACCTTAAAATTTAATCCTGCAGATCTGAGAGCTTCCGATAGACAATCCGAATAAATAGACAGCATTGCGAAATGAAAGCACCCACCTGTTGTTAGAACATCTTTTGCAGTCGATGTTGATTTCCTTTTCTATGTGGGCTTCATCCACCATAGTTGTACATGAAATCGACTTGATTAAAATTTGATACAAATATGATATACGTTATTCTGCTTTCACAACTGAATACATGGTAGATTATACTCAGCTTTTGTGCATATACATATTTGTGCCGACATGATTATTATAGGCGGTGATATGTACGTTTTATGTCGTAGTCTTGTTGAAGTTATATTTTGGAACACAATTTTATATCTTTAAGAAATTGTAGGATATTATATGGATTAATATCATGAAAGAGTATTTCATGTTTGTTGGTTGATTTTGTTTAGCGGCATATCAACCTGTATGGGTTATTTAATGTTGAAATCTAAACATTTTGAACACAATTTTATGGCTTCAACTACCAATGAAATGTATTGTTGGACATTCTACGATAAATAGGTATTGTTGGTAATTTTTTTTAACTAAAAAATGTATTGCTGGTATTTTTGTTATAAAAATGTATTTTTATACTTTCATAGTGTTTTGTTTTTGTTTGGGGGTTTACTATTTGCCCATAGCGTGGACACTAACAAGTGCTACCTCCCCGAGTCAGGGTGGACTTATGAACAACAACAATTAAGAGGTTATTCAACGCTCCTCAAAACCTCCAATCTCTGTCTGATGAATTCAACCTTTCAAGCTTCGTCATAATTTTTTATTGGCTTCACGTTAATATATTGACTATACCATTGAAGAAAATTTAAATATTTTGACAAATCGCTCGCTTGTTATTTCAGGTTATAACTCAGGTCTTTATCAGTTTTCTTCAGTCTTCTTTCAAAATCTCTGAGAAAAAAATGGTCCATAAATTTCTCGGATACATCACCCCATTTCCTTTTACTTCTTTTATTGGAAGTACTCCCTTTTCTTGAAAGAGAAACATCTTTACCAGCAAAACTTCTACCGTTGACTACTGCGGAACATGTTTCTTTTCGATTATATGCGCATTCAACTTTTCTAGAGAATGATATGATCTACATTGTGGTAAAAGTTTTTGGTTTTGTGCCACCAAAGAGTGTTCTATCCTAAATTATTAAGCTTCTCTAAATACTCAGTGGTTTAATAAAAATAATTCTTTTCATAACCATTCAATTTTTTCTTAAATAACATTGTATATCCTTTTGCGTTTTTATGTTATTTATGAAAAATATCCGCCAATGTGAAGATTTTTGATGGTGCCAAGCTTCTTGCATTTCAGAATAATCGATCTATTACTACTGACAGCGTTTTTATCATTTTGGCAATAGCATTCTGGCTCAAATCTTCATTATGTTGGTTAGTAATGTCATTTATTTATTTGGTCGATAGTTGACCTTAACCATAAAAGTCTCATTGTGGGTACTTCAACGTGGTGTAATGGTTAGCCAGCTGGTTTCGTTAGATCAATTACGACTGAATAGTGAGTTCGATCCTCACTGGGCATTCTAGACTTTCGGCTTCTTGTCACATCTAAGCTACGCTTAGAAAAATCACCATAAAAGTCTTGTTGCAAAAGCGAGAATTGAATGATGACAAGTGAAGTATTCCTGGAAGATTCCAAATATTTCTATACATATTCCAAAGATTTCTATACAAATTTCTTGGAGATTCTAAAGCTTTCTCTTCATGCATAGAAAAAATATTTCTTAATAAATTTATGATAAAATTTTAATGTTTCGAATTTTCTATCGTTAAGATGTAGTTTGAAAATAATAATTCTTTTCTTAGTAAATGTCAGCATCGGAACTATGTTAAATATTTTGCATGTCCAAATACTTATTTCCCAATATTCTTTCTTTCTTTCTATCTATCTATCTATCTATCTATCTATCTATCTATCTATCTATCTCTTTCAATCATATTATAATATTACTGAGCTGCTGTTGGACATGCGTGCCATTGTTTGATTTGGCAGTCATATTCTAAGCCAGAATGTAAAAAGGAATTTGACTAAGTCTCATGACATTATTAAAGAGTGTTAACCACTTTGCATTTATTCTCATGATATTCTAACATCGAAACTCAGCTTAACCCCAGACTTTGTAAGGATGACGACTGATGATGCATTTAAGCATTATACATGCAAAAATTAACAAAAATATTCTTTCTTACAATCTTCGGAATCTCATGCTAAGCCACGAGAGTTTCATGATTGTATGAGTTTGTTCTAATTCATAATTTTACGGGTCCTAAAATATGTAGAATCTTCAATATAAGCAAAAGTAAATGACTATTTACAGATAACCCAACATGTATGCTCTTTTCTTTTCTTTGCTCTTTAACGTTCAACAAGAATGCCAGACTCGCAAACTCGTAACAAAAACAGATTCCATACATCATGCTCATCTGAGTATCTTTCCCGTGTTTCTTCCATCAAAAGATTACGATCACCACTTATTCCATCGCCGTTCCCTGAGTCAATTTCTATCGGCCCAACTTTTCTTTATTTTTACTTTATGTTATTTTGGAATTAAAATTATTTTTTATTTTATCTTTTTTTGTGTGTTTCTATTACACAAATACATTTATTTCTTTCGTTCTGATACGAAAATGTTTGACGTACATTAATACGGCAAGTAGTGGCGATTTACCCGTTTATTTAATTAGGAATCTGGCGGAGGGATACAGCACGGAATTGTAATCTCGCCTAAAATCGCGTTCTCTGCAAGCGAAGCTTGATAAATACCGAGCCATTCGCTTGTAACCAAATAACTTCTTATTGATAACATATTCATGGGCAGAACTACTTAACCAATTATATATAGAAATCCTTTTTTTCTTTTTCTTTCAATTTCTTTCTTTTGTATTTCCACTTCTTTTGCCATTCAATTATCTAATTTTAACCGCTTCTTCTTTCGCATTTCTTCATGCGATATTTGTCTTTTTCCATTTCCAGAAATTATTTTGCGTTTTCATTTATTTTTTCTTCTTTTTACTTAGATTTTTATATCACATGCTTTAACTTTTCTGTCTGAATTTCTCCATTTTTCTTTTTCCACTCTTTTATTCTTTTTTCCTCTTGTCTTGATATAAAATTTTTTTCTTTCACTGTATTGAAAACTTTCTTTCAAACATTAATTTGTATTTATTTTTTGAAAAGATTCCCTTTTTCGTTTTGTTGTAAATTTTTATTTTATTTTATTGTTTAAATTTATTTGTCTTTGTCATTGAATCAGAAGAAATTATCTGTTTTTTTCCAGAACATCTCCGAAGTATTTCCGGAAAGTTCCAAGTTAGTTAATAATAGTGAAAATTAAACTTAACTAGGATCTTACTTCATTAGTACATTTGAAATACTATATTTGGTACTTCACGAAGTCTATGTTTTTTCTACTGATTCAAAAGAGTTTGTGACCTCCTTTTCCGGGATCGCCATCAGTTGCTTACTCGCCTTCTCTTTAATCTCGTACGCGCTCTGTAATAACCTTTCTTTAAAAAATGATAGTCAGAAGTCGTAGGGAGCTAAATCTAGGCTGTAGTGAGGCTGAGAAATATGAGTTTTACCTAAAATTGAACGAAACTTCGCTGACCAACTTGCTAAATGCGTACAAGGTCAGTCACTGGCGGCATACGATTAACTGAACCACCCAGGAAAAGGCATGCGCAGTAAAGTCCAAATAATTTGATTAGTTGCCAAATCGCATAAGACCATGCAACTAGTTCTCGCGTTATTCAAAATGGTTTCATAACGACATTTTCTAAGAATTAAACCCCAATTAATATTTTATCTTCAGTTTTATTTTTTGCTTTATTATTTATTTTTGCTTTATTATTTATTATTTGTCTTTTTCAAAATGTTCATTATCTTTCTCTTGCTTTTCTGTCCTCCTCCTCCTCCTCCTCCTCCTCCTCATCATCATCATCATCATCATCATCATCATAACAACCACCACCAGCACCACCACCGGCAGCAATAACATTTTCTACTCTGCTTATCGGTTCTTTCTTTCTTTATTTATTTCTTTCGTTTCACCTCTTTATCGTTTATTTTCCTTCATTTATCTTCCATTCTCTGTTTTTCCTACCTCCCTTACCCATCCCCTTGCATAGGCACACACACACATATATACAAATACATTTGTATAGAATTAATCATATCTTCATAAACACTCACTTAAAGCTAAATACATACATACACGCACACACACACAGACACGCACAGACACACACACGCGCGCGCACGCGTGTATGTATGTACATAGTAATCTACAAATTACATAAGTTATTTTCCAGGGCCACCATCTGATATCTCAAGTTATTAGAATGTTTCAAAATATCTACACTCTGAATTCATAAAAACTAACCCAGATGATTTAAAGCAGGTCATCAACCTATGATCCCGCTGCACTCAGACCAGACAATTTAAAATATGAAAAACAAATATTTTCCGTTTTTTATATTTGATATTTTTTAACATTATTCTACATTTTTTTTCTCTCTGCCATTTTGGCTGAGAAAGAAACTGTCCTCAAGATTTTTCAAAAGTTTATGCATAGAATTTTTATAGGTACCTTATACAAATTATATTGTGAGTAAAATTTCGTGGTTTAAACAAAACTTAGATGAAACTTAGATGAAAACAAGAAAGAAAAAAGATAAACGCAAAAACCCGGCAATAACAGATATAAGAAGAGACGTGAAAATTACAAACAGAAAAATTTCATTTATTAACCGAATAATAATTATTAATTACCTCAACATTTTTTATTCAGGGACGGCCAATGATGGAAAGTCACCTCGCCAAAGGATATTTTATCTTTTTTTTTTTATTTTTCTCCTTTATTTGTCTTTGAAAAAGGCTGATTTTTAAACAATTTTCACATTTCTTTCCTCCTCGAGAAATTAAAATTGAAGAATCTGCGCATTTCTATTTGTTGCTCATCAGTTATTCCGTAATTTAAAAAAATCAAATGTAAATGACAGAATTCATGCAAAGTAAAAGAATTATTACATTAAATCGAAATTCGTATCTTCACAATAAGAACATAGAAAATTTTACCTACCACACTGATGGCACATGGTTTTTGACATTGACTGAGATGCTTGAATGTACAGTACTTGAATAAAAACAACAGAACAAACTAATATTTTCACACATCCAGCAAGCATATATATATATATATATATATATATATATATATATATATATATATATATCCAGGTAAGATGGAAACGAATAGAGTACAATTCCAACGTTCGTAACCTTTAATTTAAAAGAGTAAAGCAATATTATTTATTTTAGGATATTACACCGAAAAGCGATGTAAAATCGCTACACAATTGCAGTCATGTTTCAACGCCAATCAATATATCTCATCAGGCGATTGTAAATTACCGGCGAGTGAACGATTTATTTAGATTTAAAAGCAAAATACAATCTCTCTTTTTTAAAAAAAAGGAAAAGAGGGGGATTATAAGGTTTGTGGGCTTTAATCTGATCAACCATTCAAATAAGACCTACATTAAATTTAAACTAAGCGAAGAAGCAAAAATTAAAAATTATTTTTTATACATGGGTCATGACCCGTAGACTGGCAGATAGATATAAAATAAAGCGAATACATATGGTGACATAAATTATACGAACAAGACAATGCAGTTTCCTAAGAAATAAAAATGTGGTGGAGAGGTAATTCAACAAAATGCTAAACAAGTTATATACTTTTGTGAATTTCCTACATAAATTTTTTTATACTTGATAAATAAATAGCTTCTTTAAGAAACTAATAAATAATTTAAATGTAGAATTAATTGGTAAATTAATATGTAACTGTTAAATAAAAACCCTTCATATAAGATCTTGATAACACTAACCAATCAATGCAAAATGTCAAAAAATAGCTACCAAATACCAATACATCTGTACAAGATGTTACCAATATAACCAGGAAACTAATACAAAATTATATTAAACCCAAATTAATTTTACAAATAGAAAGATAAGCCATATATAGTGCAACGCAGCACAACTAAAATATAAGAAAAAGCATTATCAAATTTCAAAGTTTAACTAAATTGTAAGGTAAAAAGTTAATCTATGTTTACAAGTTACTGTTAATTAATTTCTTTGATGTAACAAAGAATTTTTGTTAAAAAATCTGATGATTTCGAGTTCAAGTTCATATAAAGATTTACATGTCCTTGCTATTTTTAAAATTTTCCATTTCACTGTAGGAATCTTTAAACTTCAAGAATATTTAGAAAGAGATGCATTACTTCCGAAAGTAGTATTCGTAAAGGACAAGATATGTTGATACCACCTAGTCTTAAAAGAAATCATTGTATTACAAATATAGAATTTTTCAACTGTCGTATTCTCTGTTGTAGAGATAGTACTATGATAAACCAGATATTTAATTAAACATTTGTTTAGCAATGGGCATTGATCAGGATTCCTACAATTACACTGGCCAGTATCACTAATAATATTTATCTTTGAACGTGTATTATGATCCAGATTATTAAATTGATTTTAAAACTTTATTGCGTAACTTTATAATCTTCTCAAGATTATTGGTGCAGCTATAACTTAATTTTAATGTGTTTCTGTTAAATATTTTACTCAGAGTTTTACTCTTAGGAAAATATTTATCGATCAAATGGAGGAACGTATGGCCTAACTTAGTACTGACTAACTGATTAAATGGGGGTGTGTGTACCAGATGATCTTTCTATTTCTATTTCTTTACTTTGGACCACTATCATCATATTTTCTAAACTTGATTTCATCGTATTTATAACTACATTT